TTTTTTTTTTTTTTTTTTTTTTTTTTTTGAGATGGAGCTTCACTCTTGTTGCCCAGGCTGGAGTGCAATGGCGAGATCTCAGCTCACTGCAACCTCCACCTCCTGGATTCAAGTGGTTTTCCTGCCTCAGCCTCCCAAGTAGCTGGGATTACAGGCATGCACCACCACTCCCAGCTGATTTTGTATTTTTAGTAGAGACGGGTTTCTCCATGTTCATCAGTCTGGTCTTGAACTCTCTACCTCAGGTGATCTGCCCAGCATGGCCTCCCAAAGTGCTGGGATTACAGGGATGAGCCATTGTGCCCGACCCCAACTTTCTCGCTTTTTTTTTTTTTTTTTTTTTGTCTTTTTGTTTTTTTCCTTTTTGTGGAGAACGGGGTCTCGCTATATTGCCCAGGCAGGTCTCGAACTCCTGGGCTTAAGCTATCCTCCCGCCTCTGCCTCCCTAAGAGCTGGGATTACAGGCGTGAGCCACAGCGCCCGGCCCCCAACTTTCTTATATACCAAATTATGTCCATACTTTTCTTTTCTTTATTTTTATTTTTATTTATTTATTTATTTTTTAAAAGGTGGGGTTTCACCATGTTAGTCAGGCTGGTCTTGAACTCCCGACCTCAGGTGATCCGCCCACCTTGACCTCCAAAGTGCTTGGATTACAGGCCTGAGCCACCATACCTGGCCCCATGCTTTTCGTAAATAAGGCTGAAGATGCAAAAATTCAGTTTGACAAACCTTTTGAGCATGTACTGCAGTGGTGCTAATTGCTAGAGAGACAAATGGGCAGATTAATAGCCTTACTGTGAGATCAATGCAAGAAAGACTTTTGGAAGAGAAAGTGGGACTTGAACTAAGCCTAGATGAATAAAACATTTTAAATTATTGATTTGAATGCATGAAATCATTTAACTTTTGTCATTACAGATTATAACAACATAGGAAAATTCTTAAATAGAATTTTAGGCATGGAGGTACATCAGCAGAATTCATTATTTCAGTATTTTGCGGACACGCTTACTGCAGTTGTCCAAAATGCCAAAAAAAATGGAAGATACGATATGGGAATCTTAGGTAAGCAGGAAACATTTCCCCCCAACATCCCCAGGGAACATATGGAATAGATAAATTGTTTAAACATCATGTGTGTACTTGATAAAAATGTTCTTTTTTACATTTATATGTTTCTTTTTCTTGTTCAAGATCTTGGTTCTGGAGATGAAAAGGTGAGGAAAAGTGATGTTAAAAAGTTTCTGACCCCAGGATATTCAACCTCTGGCCACGTAGAATTATACACAGTAAGTTTAGAAAATGTTGTACATGTGGAAGTATCATCTTCCCTTGAGAGGCATTTACAGAAATGAGTTTACATTTTGTAATTTCTTTTACAGATTAGTGTAGAGAGGGGAATGTCATGGGAAGAAGCTACTAAGATTTGGGCCGAACTGACAGGACCAGACGATGGCTTTTACTTGTCATTGCAAGTACGACTTTTCCTTTAAATGCTAGCTACTCAGTTATATAATTCTTCTTAATGGCCAGCATTGTAATTGTTTTTTCACTTTGTGCCTGTTTCCCAGTTGTGTTTAGCTTTCTCTGTTTTGGTAATTTATCATTGTAATGGCGGGTTTGTCCATTTGTATTATGTTTTCGCTTAATGCATTTTAAAGGATGTTACTAGAGGCGAGTTTAGAATTGTTACATTTTTTTTTTCCTTGATTCAGAATTCCACTCTTTTCACCCAGACTGCAGTGCAGTGGCGCAATCTCGGCTCACTGCAACCTTGACTTCCTGGGTTCAAGCAGTTCTCCTCAGTAGCTGAGATTGCAGGTGCCTGCCACCAGCCCGGCTATTTTGTGTGTGTCTGTGTGTGTGTGTGTGTTTTCAGTAGAGACTGGCTTTCACCATGTGGGCCAGGCTGGTCTTTTACTCCTGACCTCAAATGATTCACCTGCCTCGGCCTCCCAAAGTGCTGGGATTACAGGCATGAGCCATTGCACCTGGCTGAATTATTACCATTTTCTTAAATTAAGCCTTTTTTCATAAGACAAGAGACTTGTTTTAGTCTTAATAATGCTTTATATCTTGAAGACACATTTTTCAGTTAATAAAACACCTAAGTGTTTCGGTTATGATTTATCTCTCTGGACAGAACTTAGGGTGTGTGCACGCACCCATATCTATACATATTTGTGTAGACATATATGTATATACACACACACACGTTTACATACGGAACAGTATCTTGAGTTTTATATTGACTTACTGTATTCAAATCCAAGACTACAGAATTTTTATTTCACCAATTCTCTTAAGATATTTGGTGGTGGCCGGACGCGGTGGCTGAAGCCTGTAATCCCAGCACTTTGGGAGGCCGAGGCGGGTGGATCACGAGGTCAAGAGATCGAGACCATCCTGGTCAACATGGTGAAACCCCGTCTCTACTAAAGTACAAAAAATTAGCTGGG